CCATGATGGGTAACCCTGCCTGTCTAGTAGTCTTATTCAGAGGAGCTCGAGACCAGAAGGCATCGTTAGGGTTTAAGACGTACATGATGCCATCATACCACATAAAGCATTGCAACACCATTTGGAAAGGGTTTTTTTCCTGTCAAGCTGAGTTGTGATATCAGTGGCCTTAAATTCAATAACTTCACATCACTAATATTCATCACAAAGTTTTAAAGTGTGAGAGTTTTCCATTTTCATCTGCTGGCGTCACTGGCGTGGGCATGGCTACCAAATATTTGCCTCTTAACTAGTAAATGCTGGGTTAGAACCAAGGTAGTCGCACTCACAATCCATCCTAGAACCAGTTTTTTCAAAAATAAGGCCGTATGTTCGTCGAATATGAATGGCTTATCTATTGCATCTCCGAATCCTCATATCACAATTGACTTATTTTCTATGTTCTGTTTCTATTTTTCCCAAGTTAAGACTTCACAACATGTCGAAAAAGGATATTTTAAGTTATATAGATTGACTCTATTTGCCAAACATCCAGATGAATATTTCTGATGGCAAAATTTGGAAGTAGTCTACAAGTTGCTTTATAATTGCATACTCACCAAAGTTCTATAATGTGTTCTTTTTTATTAAAAGTTTCCAGACTCTCATAGAGTAGGCTGAAATGCGACTGCATAGTTACTTTATCATTGATCCACGCGTCTATTTAAAGCATGATCTATATAGCATATTAGAAGTGAGACAATGAATATGGCAATTAACAACCAAACACTCTCGAGAGTTTTAACAAAGGCAATGGAATTTAATTGTACTTACCCGTGAGACTTCTTAGCGAAGCATAATGTACTCTGTAGGGAGCCATTCGGGACTTTGTAGATAGAGCAATGAAGCATTAAGAATGATCTACTCTTCACAGTGCTGTTTCAACCCGAAAAAAGACAGTCATAGTTATAGACAGCTAACATAAAGGACTAGGCGAAATCAATTTACATCTGAAGTAAATACCGTCCGAATATAAATTGAGGAGTTATACCAACTATCGGTAATTATTGAGTTTTTGAATGTCTAAAAAATATAGACAAATTACATTACCACATGCTCCCCATCCACAATCCAATAATAAATTCCTTATCCTGGTGATACAATTGTCTAGTTAGATTTCCTATCGAAATCGCCTCATTTTATGGTTAGTCTTAATCCTTCTGAAAGTATACATTTACAGAATTCGTTTGTCTGCTTCTGTAGAAATTAAACTAATATCCTTTCAGTATATTCTGCATTATTCGTTGCCTTGGTTCTAAGCTCACCGTCTCTTCTCCTTGAGGAATACTTGTATATCTCTTATAGGATAGATATCTTCGGGGTTATGCACTATTATGAACCTGTTTCCATAAACACATTTAATATGAGACTCAAAATCAGTTCACTAAGGGGAGTGGGGCCACGTCCATCTTTCAGATTCTGGTGTATTCAGTCCAATTTGCTGTTTATTGCACATTTTGCTTCTGTTAATACTACTTTTTCAATTTACCTCCCGTGTCTCTTTTTAAACCTCTTTTCTAACCATTCCCTCGCTTTTATCTTCATTTTGCATCACTTGATCTCCCCGCCTCATCAATGCATTATTTCTACAAGTCAAACTCCTGGGTTGGTAGCAGCCCGCGCTACCAAGTGAGTGGTCAGGCTCAATGGTCATCGGGTAGATCCGGCTCAGCTGAGGCAAACCGGAAAGCCCGACTTCCTATCTTTGGAAAGTGGAATGAGGCCATGTACTGCGGAGAAGAGGGAGGTTCTGCACAGTGTATCTGGCGGTTTGGTGAGCAACTAGCTGTGGGGTGCCTCAAGTTCCTATGAGACAAAGTATACATGTTTATTCACAAGGCGAGAGAGGGGAGGTTTAAGTGATCTGCAAGTATACTAATATTTAACTGTCAAAACACAAGGTTTTAGCGTACATAAAAACGAAATGTATTGACTAATCCTCATATTTGCTGTATGATTCAACTAAACTGAGTGAAGACTGAGACGGGTAGGTATTTTGTGATTAGTGGG